GGGGGCCTCAGCCCCGGGCTGGGGGTGGGTCCGGCTACAGGCTGCGGGGGCGCAGGAGAGGGGCGCCCCACCCCGAGGCGCGGGCACTGCAGCCTGGTTGGAACCTGTCCCAGCTCTCCACACCCCAACCCACCTCCTTTAACTCTCCTTACCCCCTAGGCCGCTTTTCCTGTGTTTTCGTTTCCTAATATCCAAGTTGTTGCCCTGCTGGGGTGTGTGCCGGTGCGCCCCCCTCCCCCGCCACCTCGCAGGCCGCTCCGGGGATTCGTGGCTCGCTCGAGCGCATTGCTGGTGGCCGAGAGGACCTGGCACCTTTCCCGGAGGTAACGCACCTGCCGCGCCGGCGGGCTCGCGCGAACATGGCTGCCTGGCGGGCCCACTGCCTTTGGCCTGGCTCTGCCCCCGTATCCACCGGGTCCCCCGTCGTCGAATCGTGTCCGGAGGACTACCCTCCTCTTGAGGGCTGTTGCTGTGGTCTTTGCAGGCCGCAGGACTTGACACGACCCCCAACCCCCACCCCTAAGCCACACCCGGGGCGGTTCTTGCGGGTGGGGGTGCCGGAGCATTTATTGGTAAAAGGCGCTGGTATTTCTGAGATGATTATCCACTTCAGTTTGCCTTTACGTCCTTGGTTCGCTTGTCTGACGGGGCGCAGATTATCGGGCGACATCACTCGAGGTCTGAGACAAGTGTGATCTGCAAAGCAGGAGGGACGCTTGAACTTTAGAGAATTGACGAGAACTAGGATTTAGGGGATTAAAATGTCCATTAAAAATAAGTGCATATAAGGAAGCAGTCATTTGCTGTGACTCAAAACTGTCTTGGTAAGGTTCTCAAATAATACGGCCTTTCTGGATTTGCTGTTTAATTCTGGCTTGCAAGTGTCTTGAATTATGCTGATGCACAGCTTCCCGATGTGTGTGTGTGTGTGCGCGCTTGCGCGTGCGTGCGTGTGGGTGTGTGCCTACTGTGTTCCAAGCCTGACTAGAAGATGCATTAGTTGCAGAGGAAACCTGTGTTAATTCAAAATGGCAGCATGAAAAATCAGGCCAGGCGGAAGGAGCACAGACCACAGCTAATATCAGCTGCCCCCTGACTTAAGCCTTAGTGAGGGAATCTTTCAAAGGGAAGGGTCTCCTGGGTATAGCTGCCGCTAGCCCTAAGTGGTAGGGAGTAATTCTTGCAGCAGGCTCGATTTTAGGGTGCTGCAAGCTTCTGGGGAGGCTAAGTGGGAAGTTTGGGAAGCTGCAATTATCTTTTCTAACTTATCAAAAGCTGGTGCAAAGACCTGATTAAATCTCTCTGGGATTTTGGTCTGATTTTCTCTGGCTCCACTAAAGTCTGTTTTTGTGACTGGTGATACCTGTTTGATAACTCCTGTGTTGTTCCGTACCTACAAGTGGCTGTCAAAGATGAATGTCTAGTATAAACATTATCTAAGAACAGTTCATATAACCAATAGCAGTCCTTAGAGCAAGTTTCTTTGGAAGAACTGATTTAACATCATGAGCAAGCCCTGAAGCACTACAGAATGGTAAATTCTGACTCATTTTTTAAAAACAGCCCTCCCCCCCTTTCACTGCTGTGTTGCCAGCCATCTTCTCTCTGAGCAAGGAGGAGATGTATGAGGAGGCAGATGTTTCAGGGATAATGGGATAGAGGAAGATTAGTACAAAGGTCAGGAATGGTGAGCTGGAAGCAGCCTGAGAAACTGTCAGCCTCCTCTTTACAGCCCTGGAGGCTAAATCCAGCAGGGTAAAAGGACTGCACCCAAAGTCATATAGCTGGTTGGCAATTGGCAGTGAGAACAGAGATCCAGGTCTCATAACTCCCCGTTTTAGGCTTCCACATGCCACCCTTCAAAGCCTGGGAGAAGAGGGGGAACCTGTCATTACTAGGATGGCGAACACTTTGTGAAACCAAACTTTAACATGAATTAAAAAATCTATAAGTATTTAAAGTAAGTGCCTACACCTTAGTTTCCTGACTTCAGACCTAACTTCTTAAGCTGTGCCCATGTCATGTCCCCTTTTTCCCAGGGACTAGACCACTTCAGTATTTAAGCACCAAAAACATGATTTTATGGGGGGTTTTTTTGTGTGTGTTTTATATCAAAATCTTGGAGGTAAGAAGTGTATTCTTTGTTTAAAAAAATTAGTTGCTGCTGTTGCTTGTCTAGTTTTTAAAAGAAGCCAAGGTGAGACATATAAGAGCATTTGAATATATCTAACTTTAATAGTAAATAACAAACCTGTTTTAAAATAACTTTGATGCAGCCCTGAAGGCAGAGGCTTTTTCTAGAACTTGAATTTGAATTCTTTGAGTTATATACCAGTGATCCTAGTTCTACTAAAGCAGAACTAGAAATTGTGCGTGGGCTACAATTTGTGCAGAGGTGGTGAGGGGATGGAAAATATTTCTTCTGGGCATTCTGTACCTTCAATCCAGTGAAGTGCAGAAGGAGGAGGTAGGCGGGTGGCAGGGAACAGGGAGAATAACTTATGATGGTGAAGCAGATAGGAGCTAGGTCTATGGATAGCTAGCTGGGTATGCTGAAGTGAAGACAGATGCTGATGCCACACGTGGCATTAAAAAAATAACTTGCATTAAAGCATGAATGCGAAGATTCATTCATTTAAATTCTCCTGATATGTCAAAGATATTTAAAATCGCAAGTTTTAAAAATACATAAACACATGCAATCTGTGTTTGTTGGAGAACAGTGAAAAATACTGATAAGCCAAAGTTATTTTTAGCAAATCACCCACGATCCCTTTATCCAGCAACAATCAGTCACTGTGAAAGTTTGGAAGCATTTTTTTGGAGTGAGAGCCTAGGTCTGTGCTGTGCAATCCAGTGGCCCCTAGCCACTAGCCATATGTGGCTTTTGAGCACTTGAATTGTGGCTTGTCTGAACTGTGATGTGTTGTGAGTGTAAAATACACACCGGATTTCAAAAAATTTTTATGAAAAAAGAATTTAAAATGTTTAATTAATAATTTTATTTTTAAAATTTTAGTGGAGTATAGTTGATGTACAGTATTATGTTAGTTTCAGGTGTACAACATAGTGATTCAATATTTGTATAGATTATGTTACATTTTAAGTTATTATAAAATAATGGCTGTGTTCCCTGTGTTGTACAGTATATCCTGGGGACTTACTTTTAATTATTTGCTTATATATTTATTTATGGGGAGGCAATTAAGTTTATTTATTTATCGGTTTTAATGGAAGTAATGGGGATTGCTCATTTTTTATACATAGTAAGTTTGTCCCTCTTAATCCTCACACCCTATCGTGTCCCTCCCTCCTTCCCTCTCTCCATTGATAATCGCTTTTCTGTATTTGTGAGTCTGTTTTGTTATATTCATTTGTTTGTTCTTTTTTAGATTCCACATAGAAGTGATAACATACAGTATTTGTCTTTCTCTGTCTGACTTATATTTCATTAAGCGTAAGACCGTCTGGGTTCATGCATGTTGTTGCAAATAGAGAATTTCAATAAACAGATACTGTTCATTTACAGTTTTTATGTTGATTATGCAGGCAAATCTCGGAGAGATGGTAAGTTGGGTTTCAGGCCACCACAATAAAGCAAATATCGAGGTAAGACAAGTTACACAAATTCTTTGGTTTCCCAGGGCATATAAAACTTATAGTTATACTGTAGACCATTAGTATGCAATAGCCTTATGTCTAAAAAACAATGTTGATACCTTAATTTAAAAATACTTCATTGCTAAAAACTGCTAACCGTCATCTGAGCCTTCCACAAGTTGTAATCCTTTCTCTATAGTAACATCAAAGATCATTGATCACAGATTATCGTAACAAATAGAACAATAATGAAAAGCCTTGAAATATTTTGAGAATTACCAAAATGTGACACAGAAACACAAAGTGAGCAAATACTGTTGGGAAAATGGCACCAATAAGCTTGCTCCTTGCTGGGTTGCTACAAATCTTCAATTTATAAAAAACGCAATTATCTCTGAAACACAGTAAAGCAAAATGCAGTGAAATGAGGTATGCCTCTATGTTGGATTAATATTTGGGATATATTGGTTTTAAACAAAATACGTTACTAAAATAATTCCATCCATTTCCCTTTACTTTTTTAGATGTGGATCCTAGAAAACATACAATTGTATATGTGATTTGGATCTATCTCCCATTATATTTCTGTTGGGCTGTGTTGGTCTAGGTCATTAAAGAAAGTGGAGGTGGGTTGCATTGTGTGATACTGTTCATAGAACTGGATGTGGAAGGAGAGAGAAACTTGAACAGACCCTGGAGGGGAGGTACTGAGTGGAGAAGGACTACAGGAAGCGAGTACTCAGGGACACGTTGTAGATGGAGAGGGAGAGTATGCCAGGGTACCAGACTTTGTGAAGCAGAAAAAGCAGAGTATAGGGTGATGTAGGATTTGGAGTCAGTGGAATTGGGGTTGGCAGGGGTTACAGTGGTGGGACGGTAACGAGGATGGTGAAAGGGCAGCATGGACACAAGTGCACAGCACACTGGAAAGTAACTTTCACATTCTGATATAGCTGGTTTCACAAACACATCAAACACATCGCAAGGAGATGAATGCAGTTCGTACAAAGAGAGGTTCCAATGCTGCAAGTCAGGGAACCTTGGTTCTAGTTCGTCTAGTTCTTGGTTCTAATGCTGGTTCTAGGTCTGATTAGGGATGTGACCGTGAGCAAGTCACTCATCAAAGCATTTATCAGTCTCCTTTTTAAAGTGGAATGAACAGGAGCTGTTTGCTAACTTTGCTAGGTGGTTTCTGTGGGACGAGGTAGGGCATATTAGAAAACACAAGGGACTGTTAGAATTTACATAACTTTATCACAACACCACACACTGAGATAACTTTTACTTCAACCATAAGAGCAGCCTTCCTCTGGTACTACCACTATAAATGCTCTAAACATTTAAAATTTCAGTCTTAATATTTTGGAGGGATTAGGAGTGAGTTGGGGATCTGGATAGATTTCTTCCCTCCTTTTCCCATCCCAAACAGTCAATTATCCCAACACTTTATTGTTTAATACACCTTTGCACCTCAGTTTCACATTCAGCCTTCATCGTATACTAATTTCCTCTTATTATACGGGTGTATTTCACAAGTTCCTACTCTCTTAGTCTATTTTTACATCAGTATCCACCTGTTTTAGTTATTGAAACTTTATAATGTGGTTTAATACTGTGCAGGGCTAGACTTTCCTCATTGGTTTTCATTTCTGAAACTTCTTGGTTCATCCCATACATCCTTTCTAGATGAACTTCAGGGTCACTTTTGTCAGGTTATGTCCAA